TCTGGAAGCTGAGGTTAGAAGATCAGAGACTGCAGGCCTGTCTGGATTACATAAAATGACCCTGTCTGAAAAAAACAAAAGAAAGAAAAAGGAATCTCTAAATTTCTTCTGGTGAGCAAAGGACTCTGCCACTTAAAAACCAAGCTGCCATGGTGTTGCTCACCTTTAATCCCTAGTGCCCAAGAGATTGGGGATAACCTGGGCTCCATAATGAGCTGAGACCTCGTCTCAAAACAGAAAGAGAGGGAGAGAAAGAAGGGGTAAGGAAAGAGTGAGAAAGCCCCAGTGTAAACTCTGTGTTAAGTACCCTCTTTGACTATAGCTTTGCATGCATGTTATAGAAGTCATCTGTTGAAGCCAGGCATAGCAGTCTAGTGTGCCTTGGTAGGCAAGCATTCTCCTGCTGAGTTACACCCCCAGCTTACTCTTTGTTATATGTTGATAATTTGGGTTTTTAACAGAGATTCTAATTTGATTTTCTTTTTTTCTGGATACAGTGGATAAATGGTTCCATCACCAGAAAAACTAAGTCCTCTGGAATACAAGCTGATACTGCTGCATCCTGTTCACCTGGAAGCATTAGACACAAAAGTGTAGTGGCTTTTCAAAGCTTTAAGTTTCTGTAACTTACCTAATGAAGCAGATTCTGCTGTGACTGATCCAGTATGTGCAGAAGGCTAGCCATCCAGACACATCACATCCAGCCAAGATAGCTTTTTAGCTCTCGAAGCCATGGTGTCGTTTAAGTCATTTGTGCGTAGGTGTGCAAGGTGAACACCGATTGGATGTATATGTTTATTGTGTTAGGAAATAAAATTATTTTGCTGAAACTTGGTTTAGGATGCTTTTTTAATCTGAACCCAAAATTGCCACACTGGTGTGAGTGCTGTAAGTGTTTGTTTCCTAGCAGTAGTCTTAGAATTCAGTTTTATATTCTTAGATAGAAATTGCACAGTGGTGCACACCTAAAATCCTCTTACTCAAGAGGCAGAGTTCGGCCAGACTTTTTAGTTCAAGGCCAGCCTAATCTACATTGCAAGTTCTGGGCCAACCTGAGCAACATTTTGAGTACCTTTTTAAAAAAACAAGTTATTTGTTTTTAGGAATCTGAAAATGGAATCTTTTGTGTGTTTAGAAGTCTTGTTCCATGTCTAGTTCCCAGAAACCCATCTAAAGCAAAAAGTTTTAAATTACTATTTTATCAGCAAACCAAACTTTTATTGAAGGCTGAAGTAAACATGTTTACATCCTTAATGAACTGAACTTGTAAGTCATTTGCATTGCACCGAAGTTACTAGCCAGAACAATTTTAGGTTAGTACATGGCCTTTGGAGCTAGAAAGTCCTGTGCTTGCATCTAGGCCCATCTTACCAATTCTGTATTCAGGCAAGATACAAACCACCAAACTTGGTTTCCATTCTATAAAAATGTCAGGTAATAACTTACAGTAAACATTCTTATTTATTGAATCTGAACATTATTATGTCTGTGTGTGTGTGAGCCCAGGTGCTGTTGGAGGCCAGAGGTTTAGTAACATGTGGAGCTGGAGTTACAGGTAGTTGTGAGCTGAACTCCAGTCCTTTGTAAGAGTAGGCAGAACACTCCTCACTACTAAGCCCAGCTGTCTCTAGTCTACCTTATCTTTTAAGGCAAGCTCTCAGTGAATCTGGAGCTTGTGGATTTGGCCGAATTGGCTGGCCAACAAGCCCTGTCAAGCCAAGCTTAGCTGGACTCATTGCTTCTGGCCTGAGATGAGAAATGATCAGACATAATACCTTATCAGTGGCAGTTAGGAAATAGAGGCACGATGGGGCTGGGTCCAAGGTACTTATCTTATGGTGTACTTCCCCATTTCCTACATCACCATCCCAATAGTGCCCTCACAGGAATCCGTTCAGGAATTAACCTTGCTAAATTAGAATCCTCAGAATCTTTAGGCTTGGTGGAGGCCTCTGGTTCTAGCATTTCAAGAGGTTAGATGGCCAAGGCCTACATGGCATTAAGAGTGAATTCAAGGACAACTTGAGTAATATCGTTGGACCCTATCTCAGAAGTGATTCTAGAACCCAAAGAAATGGCTCTGGATAAGAATGCCTGCTCCTCCAGAGGACCCGAGTCCTATTCCCAGCACCTATATCAGATGGATTATAACCATTTGTAACTGCAGCTCTAGAAGATAATGACACCCTCCTCTGGCTCCTGAAGGCACTACATTCAAGTACACAAACAGAACTAGAAAATAGAATCTTAAAAAAAAAAAAAAAAAAGATTCTACCTGGGCATAGTGGCATACAGCTTTAATCTCAGCCCTTGGGAGGCAGAGGCAGATGGATCTCTTGAGTTCAAAGCCAGCTTGGTTTATATATATCGAGTTCCAAGCAAGCCAGGGCTTCATAGTGAGACCTTGTCTTACATGTATTATAATGATTCTCTGATTTCTAGTATTAAGTCCATTAGTGTTTTTTACCCATTGTGCTCTTTAGCTCTATGGTTTCCATTTAGTCTTTTTTTTTTTTTTTAATAACTTCCATACCTTTGAATTTCTTTCAATTAAAAACATTTTTGAGACATTATACATTTTGCTCTGGCCTCAAATAATTATATAACCTTTAACAACTTCTTAAAAGTTTGTTTTAAATTTTTTTGTGTGTCTGGGTGTTTTGCCTACATGTATTGTCTGTGCACCACATGCATGCCTGGTCCTTCCAGAGACCAGAAGAGGGAGTGCCCTTACTCAGGTCTGTTTAATAAACTGGCTAACTTTGCTTCACTCTGATTCTTTTGCAGTTCTTTGCATTGTAGTCAATATCTGGCTTTTAACTCCATGGAATGGGAAAAGGAATGCCTCAGGCTACCCATGCAGGGCTGGGCTGCATCTCTAACAAGTCAGGCTGGCATCTGAGTGCAATGTTTATTTTTTTGCCTCTGCTGCCTGAATGCTAGAATGTATCTGCATTCTGATACACCTTGCTGTACTCTTTTTAACTTTAAAATTATCTTAATTATTTTGTGTTAATGGGTGTTTTGCTTACATGTATGTGCCTCGTGGCTTTGGAGGTTAGAAAAGGGTACTGGATCCCTTGTGACTGGAGTTACAGGCAGTTGTGAGCTGCCATGTGGGTGCTGGGGATTGAACCCTTCCTTAGGGAAATGTCACATGTACTTTATAGGCTGGTGACCTCTATGCTATCTGTATGACTGAGACCACACCAGATCCACCCCTAGGCCCATAAACTCTAGAGCCATCTTTATGGAAGACAGTCATGCCTTAAGCTTGATTGTGTACATGGGATTGAGATAAGTATTACCAGGAAACTTTCCCAAATTGAACTGTATATGCCTAAAAAATAAACTGCCCAGTGTCAGACTCTAGAAATTTGAACCAATGCTGGCTAGCTAAATTGAACCAACTTCCTCCTTGCCTCACATGGATCCATCACTGCCAGCCCTGGTGTTTGCATACCCCCTCCCTCCCATTAACCTTTTATGTGGGTACTGGAAATTGAACTCAGATCGCCAGTCTGAATCTTTGGGCAGCGCAATTGCTAATCTTAGTTGTCAATTTGACTACATCTGAAATTAACTAAGACCCCAGCAACTGGACACACTTATGAGGGATTTTTCTTGATTGGATCATATGAGGTGGGAAGACCCACTCTAAATCTGGAACACACTTTCTAGAGGCAGCCCACATAAAAAGGACACAGAAGAAGGAAGCTTTTGCTTTTTATCTTTTTACCCTCACTGGCAACTCATCTGTTTGGCTGCTGAGGCATTCCTTCATTGATGTTAGAACCTGCTTCTTTGGGACTCCAGTTCAGACTGAAGACAATTGGTTATCTAGCAGTTCCCTAGACCCCCAGCATCAAATTGGGACCAATAAGATTCGGTCTGGTGGACTGAACAATTATCCAATTCTTGGCCTTTTCACTGGGAGACAGCCATGTTTGGACTATGTAGAACATAGTCTGTAAGGTGCTCTGAGAAATCTACTTTTAATTGTATAGGTATATTGGGGCTGGAGAGAGGGCTTAGTTGTTAAGAGCACTGGATCATCTTTCAGACGACCTGGGTTCAATTCCCAGCATTGAATTGGTCACTCATTATGGTCTCTTAACTCCTGTTACCCGGGATCTGTTGCTCTTTTCTGGCCTCTGTAGGCATCAGACATGCACAGAGCTCACACATATTCATGCAAACAAAACACCCATACACATTAAGTGAAAATTTTAATTTACATATGTAATTTTTATCATTCTATCAGCTCTGCTCTTTTATTTTTTGACGGGATCATTGTAAACTCTGACTGGCCTGGAACTCAAAGATCCATATGCTTCAGCTTTCCAAGGGCTGGCATTAAAGGTGTGCATCACAATGCTGGGGCAGTTCTGTTCCTTCCAGAGCCCTGGCTGATATAGGCAAAAAACAGTGGCTTTACCTGATGAGCCATTTTGCAGGTCCTACTTAACTGTTTTGTTCAAAGGGGCTATCAATACGTAATGAGGGTTAAAATTAGATGTAGCATCCCAAGTACTGTTTACTGTTCTGAACTGCTCAGTAAACTTGATTCTTTTGTTTAGAAAATTAAAAAATAAAGAGACACTTTCCCAAGGCAGGGAAAACAACTTAAAACAATGACTTGGTGGCATCCACCTAGGCTGAGGTCACCAAAGTCTACTGTTCTACACTCTACTTATATCTAGCAGCTTCCGCTTCTGACGTCCTAGGTACGTCTGAAAACTTGCGGGGATTGGAAGCCCCGGGCTGAAGTAGCCGCTCAACTAGGGGACAGAGGCCCGGGCGGCCTGACATGCACTGCCACGTCTTTCGCGGCTTGAGAGCTTTCAGGGCGGGGCCACCCCCGGAGCGTACGTCACGCCTTTAGGCCCGCCCCTCCGCTCCCTGAGTGGCTCTCAGGGTGGTACCCACAGGGCCGAACAGCGTGACGCTTAGAAGGGGCGGGATAAGTGCGTGCCCGGAAGTCTCGGGGGGGAGCGTGACGTGCATCCGGCGCGTAGCTGGCGGTCCCGGGTACTGCTGGTCTGTGTGTGCTGAGGGAGGGTCGCCCCGCCAGCCACCGCCGGAGGAGCACCTCGGGCCGTGAGTCGGGGCCTGGTCGGAGGAGGCGGCGGTGGGGCCGCGGGCCTAGTCGGGCGGCAGCAAAGGTCGGGGCGGGGGCGGCCGCGGAGGGGCTGGGTGTGGGGGAAGTGACACGCAGGCGGTTCGGCGGGCCGGCTCTGGGCGGGGACGGGCCGCAGCTGCGGGGTGGCGTGGCGGCTTTCTGGTTTGGGGGACGCCTTCGTGGCCGAGGACTCTTGTTCCTCGGTGAGGGGTAGCTGGAGCCGTGGGCGCTCATCCTTGGGTTCTGTAGTCCCGGGACCCACGCTGGCAGCGAGTGGGAGCTCGAGCCCCGCGTTCAGCCTCGCGTTCAGCCTCTGGGCATCCGACGCCCCGTCTGGAACCCAGCGTTCGCTTCTTTCACCAGCACTCCCTCTTTTTTTTTTTTTTCTCTGCATGGAAAAAAAAATCCCTCTTGGGCATTTATCATTTTGCCCAGGTGAGGATAGTAACAACTACCTTTTCCCAGTATTCTCCCGTGCTCAGGTGTTTCCCCAGTACCTGGGCTCCATCTGCTCAGGTTGAGAAAAGAGCTTTAGGGGGAATTGGCAAGAAAGCTGATCTTTGACATTTACCGCTCAGCTACATAGAACTAATAGCTTGCTGCCTTCTACCCCAGGTTCATCAGGAGTAAATACATATAAATGATGAGTACAGTTTTACTGCCTAATGGTCATTTTGGAACTTCTCTCATGTTTGTTTCCATCACGCTTGATGTTTGCACGTTTTTATTTTAGCTTCAGGAATAGTGTTGTTTTTAATGTTCTTAACATTGCAAAGATGAGAGGGTAGCTGGAGAGTGGAAAAGAAATAGTGTTCTTTAGTAAAAATACCATCTGAAAAAGTGTGTTCTTAGGAAGATTATCAAATATGTAGGTGGTGGGTTAGGGAAGTACGTTCCCTTTATCGGAAGTTTTGTGATTGGAATAGTACATTTGCAGGAAAGGCTTTGGGTTTAGGTGAGAGTTTTAAGTCCTTGGAACTGACTCCGCTGCACAGTCTTAAACAAGACAGTAGCCTAAGGGTGACCACCACATCTTGATCTTTTTAAATGAGGTCAGAGATTTCTGCTTGCTAGAGTTGGTGAGAGGGTGAAATGAGGTCTGTGTGCAGGCGTTGTATAAATTCTAAGGTTGTTGTTGGAAGAATTGGTTTAGATCCTGAGATGTGGAGGACAGAGGAGTCAGCAAAGCCATCTCCTCAACTTTGGGCAGCAGTACAAAACAACCCCTGGGGTCTGGTAGGAGTTACTACATTTTAACATCACTGAAGAATTCATTTTAATACTTTTCCTATATCATTTTTGTGGGAAGAATTTATAGGGATTTTAAAGCAAGGACTGAAAAGGAAAATAAGTAAACAAAACCAAACTCTAAAGCTTCACATTTGTAGAATTGACCAGGTTAAGAATACTTGCTTTCCTTTGTTTTTTTTTGGGGGGGTGGGGAAGGTTGGGGGGGCGGTTGAGACAGGGTCTCTTTGTGTAGTCCTGGAACTCTGTAGACCAGGCTGGCCTCAAACTCACAGAGATCTGCCTGCCTCTGCCTCCCAAGCACTAGGATCCTAGGTATGCACCACCACTGCCCAGCCCTTTTTTTGTTTGTTTGTTTTGAAAAAGAATCTCACTTATGTAGCCCAGGCTGGTTTGGAACTATATATAGGTTAAGCTGCCACAAACTAAAGCTCATCTTCCTGCCTGAGCCTCCCAAGTGCTATGCTTAGTTGTAGTCCCATGCCCATCTTATGAATTTCTAAAGAGATGTGCTATAATTTTTGTTGTTGATGTTTTTTGAGACAGTGTTTCTCTATATAACCCTGACTGTCCTGGAACTCACTGTGTAGACCAGGCTGGCCTTGAACTCACAGAGATCCAGCTAAAAAAATGTTTGAAGTACTCACTATTGGCAACAAACCAGTGCACATGAATTTAGAAGTGTTGTGTTGAAAAGAATGGTCACAGTGGGAGTAACAGCCTATTAAAAATGAACTGTGTTTTTCCAAGAATAAAGTGAAAAAGAAAAAAGAAGTTACGGAGGCTGTCTGGTTTGGGGTATTGTAGAAGAAAGATATATTCTTTTATTTACTTGCAGTACATTTGAATTTAAGAATGTATTTATTACTGGGCTTCTTAAAGTGCTAAATTTCCAGATAAAGCGCTCTTTCTGTCTTTCTATCTGAATGTGTGTGTGTGTGTGTGTTATTGCCAAGAATCAAATCCAGAGCCATGCATGTTAGCTAAGTATACCTCCCTAATACTGAGCTAAGTTTCTAGCCTCTCTTCCATTAAAATTTTTATTTATTTTTTAGAAATGGGATCTCTTATGATTCAAGATGCCTTCAACTCACTGTAGAGCTGAGGCTGTTGAACTCCTAATATTCTGCTCTGCCTCTTAAGTGCTGGGAATATAGGCGTGTGTCACCATGCCTGGCTCCAGCCTGTTGTTTTTTTTGTTTGTTTGTTTTGAGGCAGGGGTCTTGATGTGTAGCTTAAGCTGGCTTCCAACTCTCTGTGTAGTCTAGCCTAGCCTTGAACTTGTGTTCTTGAGCCTCTTTGAGTGGTGAGATTACAGGTGTGTACTACCCTTCCTGACTATTACTTAGCATGCTGAATGTGTACTGTGTGCCACAGTTTTCTGTCTTTTCCTCCATCAAAAAAAAATTTTTTTTTTTTAATAAAAGCTTAATGGAGTAAGCATGAGGTAGGTGCTAAGGTTTACAGGTCAGACTATAGGCCTGATAAAACCTCAATAATTAGATAGTGTGCTTTCCATCTAGCATCTTTGAAGAATATAAGTGTGGTTGTGCATGGTAGTTATTCCGGATGCTGAAGCAAGAGGATAGCTTAAGCCCTGGAGTTTGAAGCCATCCTGGGCAACACAGCAGGATCCTATCTCTAAAAGATATGAAATACACATATGTATACAAAGATATGTATCTATATATACATATCTTGTGGATAACTTGTCCTCCAGTTACTCTTTATGAAAGTTTTGTCTATTGCAGTTCCTGCCTTTTGTATAGAGTTTTGTCTTGTTGAGAAAGTGGTAATTTTTCTTTTCTGTGCTAAACTGGGCTACTGATGCAGAAATTCTATGTGACCAGGACATGGGTCTCTGAGATTCTTTACCATTCCTTAGCATTTCTAGATTCTACCTTCTAAACTGTGAATAGACCTGTCAGTGGCTTTGAGTCATACATTTTTTTCCCCTAAGCTTATAGGAAATAGGAAAAGCGGCTAAGACAGACTTGCACCAGTAGTTGAGATCCTGTCTCAAAAATAAGATGTTTACTTGCTTTGAAACTTCTTGTTATCTGTGAGTATTCTTAAATAATTTGTAAAATGGATATATACTTGATTGTATCACAGTAGTTTTTTTTTTTTTTTTTTTTTTTATTACTTTGTGCTTCTGTAAAATAGTATATCTTTTTGTAAGTTGAAACATACTGCAAAATGGTTAAGGGTATTTGGAGCCAAACAAACTGGGCCAGTTGATATATTTGGGGTGACATTTTTGGAGCTGTATAGAATAGTTTAATGAACCTTAAATCAGGCTGATGAACTGTTTGCTCATGGTTTTGTTTTGGTTCTTTTGTTGTTGTTTTGAGACAGAATTCCAGTGGCCTGGAACTCACTATGTGGACCAGGCTGACCAAAAATGTTTCTGCTTCTGTCTCCCAAGTGCTGGGTTATATGGATTTGTCATCGAACCCAGCTCTCATGTTTTCTACCTGCTGTATCTGTTTGGCCTTTTGATTCAGCTTTTTTGTTTGTTTTGTTTTTTTGAGACAGGGTTTTTCTTTCTGTTCCTGGCTGTCCTGTATCTCGCTCCATAGACCAGGTTGGCCTCTAACTAAGAGATCTGCCTGCCTCTTCCTCCCCATTGCTGGGACTAAAGGTGTGCACCACCACCACCTGACTTGATTCTGATTATTAAGGACACTGAATTCCTAGGAATATTGCCAACTAGTAGACAGCAGTGTTTATCTAAGGATGTGAATGGGCAGCTGCCTGGAGGAGTACATCTCTCAGTAAAAGAAGACAATGTATCTGTAACTCCTAGTTCTCTGGATTTGTAGATTTGAGAATCCTAGAGGCTTCTCTTCAGACTGTAAAAACCTTGTTTCAAGAGTAACGATTAGTTGGCCTATGCAAGACTGATTTTTATTTGTATGAGTGTTTTACTTGCATGCATTCATGTTTACCACAGAGAGTATATGAGAGTGTTGTATCCCCTGGATCTGGAGTTAACAGACAATTGTGAACCACCATGTGGGTGCTCTAGAATAGTAGCAAATATTCTTAACTTCTGAGTCATGTCTCCAGCCCCAGACTTTGCTTTCCTAGTCTAGAGAACTCAGGTCTGTGAACATGTGTCAGGGCCAGGGAATAAGACCTGCAGAAAAAAAGCTAATGTTACTTTCATGTTTTACACAGGTTGTAAGCATCAATAATGTCTTTCATCTTTGAGTGGATCTACAATGGCTTCAGCAGTGTGCTCCAGTTCCTAGGTAAAGCTATTTTCATGAAACACATTACAGGTTGCAACTGTATTTCCTCAAACAATTTGTATCTAAGCTGCCTTTGTTGAGAAGACCATTAAGACTTTCGTTTCTCTTGCAGGACTCTACAAGAAATCTGGAAAACTTGTCTTCTTAGGGTTGGACAATGCAGGCAAAACCACTCTTCTTCACATGCTGAAAGATGACAGACTAGGTCAGCACGTACCAACACTACATCCTAGTAAGTTTCAGAATGCCAGGTAACCTTTTGATGGTCAGTGTCATGCATGGAGGATGAATCCCAATCAATGTAGTTCTTTAACTAACTGGAAGCTAGCTTACTATAGACAGACTCCAGTCACATACTCTGCATCCCTTGTCACTGACTTTTCTGACCAGTTCTGTAATGAGACACATATCTGATCTTCAGCAGAAAACTTGTAGATGGGGAAAATGGAGACTTTTGGGGTTAATATTTTCATCCCTGTACCCTTTTCTTTACTCAGTGAGAACTTCATTATGTTTACTTTGGTATTGGTTTTCAGTACTAGCACTTAGACCTTTGGTTGGATGTTTATTTCTTTTCCCCCCTTTTGATACTTTCAGCTTCAGAAGAACTGACAATTGCTGGAATGACTTTTACCACTTTTGATCTTGGTGGACATGAGCAAGGTAAGAGACTGACTGAGGGTATTTTGTGAGACACTGCTGCAAAACAGTGTACTATTTAACCTTTTTAAAATTGAAAAGTTGTGTGTGCACATGAATGATGTATGGCTGTACGTGCCATGGTGTGGAAGTTAGGAGACAACTTTGTGGAATTGGTTCTTTTCTTCTACCTTTGCATGGTTTCTGAGGATCAAACTCAGGTCATGAGACCTGTGAGGCAAGAACCTTTATCACTGAGTCGTCTCTCCACTGCTGCTCCCCCAGACACCAATTTTACCTTGTGAGTTAACTTGTAGTTAGAATTAGAGTTTACTATTTCAGTGAAGGTATTTCATCCACTTTTTTTGTGTGTGTGTGACAGGGTTTCACTGTGTAGCCCTGGCTGTCCTAGAACTCACTCTGTAGACCAGCTTGCCTTGAACTCAAAAGAGATCTACCTGCCTCTACCTCCTGAGTGCCAGGATTAAAGGCATGTGCCACCAATGCCAGGCTTTTTTGTTTTTAAAGTGTTTGAGTGCTCTGTCTGCATGAACACCTGCATGTTAGAAGAGATCATCAAATCCCTTTATAGATGGTTGTGAGCCACCGTGTGGTTGCTGGGAATTGAACTCAGGACCTTTGGAAGAGTAGCCAGTGCTCTTAACTGCTAAGCCATCTCACCAGTCCCCATTCACTTTTCTTTTAGAGACAGGTTTCATGTAACCCAGGCTAACCATGACCTTCATGCGATACTTTCAAGTCCCAGGAGCTAGGATTATAGACATGCACCACTATGCCTGAGTTTTTCTAATTTCAATAGTATAAAAAAAATGTGAATAATACAGAAAATTCTGTTTACTTTTAGATTTTGTCCAGATTTGCTAGTCATATTAATACTACTAATATTCATTTTATGAATTATTTATGAGTATACCATGCCCCTAACACCCTAATACTTTGTTATCTATTTCCCAAGAATAATAATCTTTAAGCCAGCTGTAGTGGTGCACACCTGTAATCCCAGCTCTCTGGGAGGCAGAGGGAGGCAGATCTTTGAGTTTGAGGCCAGGTTTGCAAAGTGAAATCCTACATAGAGAAACCCTGTCTCGAAAAAACAAAACTCTTTTTATGAGCTAGGTGTGGTGGTGCATGCTTTTATTACTAGTACTTGAGAGGCAAAACAAAAGCAAAAAAAACAAAAGCAAAAAGAAATATTTCCTTATATAATCAAAGTTGTTACTAAAGTTTTATCTACTCAACGTGTTCTTTATCATTTGATAGTATTGTTTTTGCTGTGGACTTGGCTGCTCTGGCCTCAAATTGTCATATTCCTGTTTTTAGTTACTGAGTCTGTTTTGTATACTTTCTTCAGTGGGATATGTATATGAAGGAAATTATTACTACCAGTAATTCTAAATTTTTTGAAAATTCCCAAAAGAACCCAGTGGTTATTTTGTAACTCCTTTGAACTTTTTTTTTCTTAATGTGCTCTGCTCATTTGAGAAGGTTGAGACATTTTCTAATACCTTTTTTGCTATGCTCCAGGTCCTTTTTCAGCCTGTGTCTCTGACTCTTAGGTTCCTGTAAGGTACTTTCAATGGATATTTGTTAATTTGCTTTTAATTTGCAGCTGATATTTTCTGTGTGTGTGTGTATGTATGGTTTTTGTTTGTTTGTTTGTTTGTTTGTTTTTGAGACAGGTTTTTACTGGGTAGCCTTGGCTGTCCTGGACCTTGCTCTATAGTCCATGCTAGCCTCAAACTCAAGTTTCCACCTTTTTCTGCCTCCAGAGTATTGGAATTAAAGTGTGACCCATTACTGTTCAGCCCACCTGTAAATTTTTTTAAATTATTTTATTTGTTTTTGTTTTTTAAGCTTTATTTGTTTGTTTGTTTGTTTGTTTATTTAGTATGCAGCATTCTGCCAGCACACCAGAAAGAGGGCAACAGACTTCATAGTAGATGGCTGTAACGACTGAGTCATCTCTCTACCCCCGTTGGCTTGTTTCTTTGCTGTGCTGGGGATCAAATTCAGGGCCTGGTACATGTTAAGCAAATGGTTTACCTTTGAGCCACACCCCCAGTTTCCCTTCTGTTATTTTAGAAATCTACAGAATGGATATTTTTGTTTTGAAGATCCTCAGTTTGTATTTGGCAAAACTCTAGGCACAGAAGTAAACTGTTTAAGACCTGAGAATATTCTTGGAAGGCTGGGAAAAGAAACCACTACAATCCCTATGATAGAGACAGCACTTGAGAGGCAGAGGAATGTGGATCTCTGCATTTGAGGCCAGCCTGACCTATAGGGCAAATTCCAGAACAGCTAGGGCTATCCAGGCAAACCCTATCTCGGAAAACAGGAAGAAAGAAATCCTATCAGAGTTACTCATCTTTTACTGAGTTGACAAGACACTCTTTAGAAAAGTTTTGTTAGTTTAATTGAATAGAGTTTCGGGCTGGAGAGATGGCTCAGAGTTAAAGAGTACTGGCTGCTCTTCCAGAGGTCCTGAGTTCAATTCCCAGCAACCACACAGTGGCTCACAACTATGTATAATGATATCTGAAGCCTTCTTGTATGCAGGTGAATGTGCAGACAGAACATTGTATATATAATAAATAAATAAATCTTTTTAAAAAGTAAGTTGAATAGTTTTTAAGTATATTAAAACAGGATTTTGACAGTTTCTAATTGTACATTAATTTATTCTGATTATATTAGGATATTTTCATTTGATAATAATAGCTGGAAAAATCATATTATTAGAATCATAGAAAATAGCTATGGAGAAAAAAAGATTAAAGGACATATAGTAGAAGTTTGTGACTCGAGAGACCATTTTGATGGATGGAATATCTAGTATGTTGCTTACTTTTTCTGTAATGGCTTGTGTTCTCTATATTCAGATAGGGATGTGTAGATATCTGGTGTCTTCTCTGCTTTGTTCTAGAAGGCTTTGTAGCTCTTACAGGTTTAAATTCAGAGCAAGGGCATCTGGAGAATGCTGAAAGACTTGGAAGTAGATGGGAACTAAAGTTTAGTCAGTGTGCTAAAGTCAGAGAGGGGAAACGTGTTGATGGACAAAGGTTTGTTTTGTTGACTGAGCAAAGTGTACTTATCAAGAACATGTACCTAATAATCCTGCATTAAACCTTTTTGTTTTTATTTTGAGATAGGGTCTTAATATGCCTACTCTGATTTTGAACTCTATTATTATATTTTTTTACGTGTGTGTGTGTGTGTGTGTGTAGACAAGGCTGTCTATGAACTCACAGGGATCTACTTGCATCTGTATCCCAAATGCCAGGATTAAAGGGGTGTGCTACCACATTAATTTGTGTGTGTGTGTGTGTGTGTGTGTGTGTGTGTGTGTGTGTGTGTGT